AAAGATTCTGCTAATATGTAAAATTACGTAGAATTGCATGACATGATCATAAAAGGCAATTTTTTCTCGGATCTGCAAATATGATGAGAGATTCATGCAATGCTTTTACTATAAATAATAATAATTATTATTGGTCATTTAGCAGACGCTCTTATCCCGAGCGACTTACAGGAGCAATTAGGGTTAAGTGCCTTGCTCAAGGGCACATCGACAGATTTTTCACCTAGTCGGCTCGGGGATTAGAACCAGCGACCTTTCGGTTACTGGCACAACGCTCTTAACCAGTAAGCTACCTGCCGCCCGATGTGGCCCAGAAGTTAATTGACAGCATGCCATTGCAGAGGTCTTGAAATTGAAGGGTCAACACTGCAAATATTGACTCTTTGCATAAACTTAATGTAATTGTCAATAAAAGCCTTTGACACTTATGGAATGCTTGTAATTATACTTCAGTATACCATAGTAACAGCTGAGAAAAATATCTAAAAACACTGAAGCAGCAAACTTTGTGAAGACCAATACTTGTGTCATTCTCAAAACCTTTGACCACGACTGTACATGAAATGGTCAAAAGAGCGCCGATGTTTTGGTTTCTATGTTTGCTAGCAAGCTACCGAGGAGGCTGATGAGTCTGTGTTGTTGAAAAAGCTTCCTGTCCACTGGACTATACGTCACGCAAGAAACAGCTCTTGAAAGACTCACATCGTCATCTGCTGACTGGAGTGGGTAACGCAGTTTGGGAAAATATTCACTATACTGTGTTCATTCTGCCAAATAATATCATGTCATTTCAAAATATGGTGAGCTGGATGGTAGACAGGGTTGATCATGGTGAGTTGGATGGTAGACAGGGTTGATCATGGTGATGGTGAGTTGGATGGTGGGATCTGAGAAATGAGATCTTTCCATCCCTACTCTTGTCCATGGTGGTCTGCCAACCCACAACCTTCTGGCCCGCAGCCCTTTGCACTATCAAGATTATTGCATTGCCATGTAAGGATTATAGGACGAAGAACACTTTATAAAACTGTATATCTAAGGCTCCTGTCTGTCTAATAAGTGAAGGTAAACGGTAGACATGTTCTCTGCTATCCAATTTGTTTTAATTATTATTTTGGGTATAGGGGAGGGTCACTTGTCTTTTGTCTTTTTAAGTGTTCAGGGAAGGTTTAGGTAAAATATACTGAACAAAAATATAAACACAACATGTAAAGTGTTGGCTGAAATAAAAGATTGCAGAAATGTTCCATACGATCAAAAAGCTTATTTCCCTCAAATGCTGAGCATTTCTCCTTTGCCAAGATAATCCATCAACCTGACAGGTGTGGCATATCAAGAAGCTGATTAAACAGCATTATAATTACACAGGTGCACCTTGAGCTAAGGACAATAGAAGGCCACTCTAAAATGTGCAGTTTTGTCAGACAACACAATGCCACAGATGTCTCATGTTTTGTGAGAGCATGCAATTGGCATTCTGACTGCAAGAATGTCCACCGGAGCTGTTGCCAGATAATTTAATGTTCATTTCTCTACCATAAGCCATCTCCAATGTCGTTTTAGAGAATTTGGCAGTACATCCACCCAGCCTCACAACCGCAGACCACGTGTAACCATGACAGACTAGGACCTCCATATCTGGCTTCTTCACCTGTGGGATGGTCTGAGACAAGCCACCCGGACAACTGATGAAACTGTGGGTTTCCACAACCGAATAATTTCTGCACAAACTGTCAGAAACCATCTCAGGGAAGCGCATTTGCGTGCTCGTCGTCCTCACCAGGGTCTTGACCTGACTGCAGTTCGGCGTCGTAACTGACTTCAGTGGGCAAATGCTCACCTTCGATGGCCACTGGAGAATGGTGCTCTTCACGGATGAATCCCGTATTTCAACTGTACCGGGCAGTGTCGTGTGGGCGAGCGGTTTGCTGATGTCAACGTTGTGAACAGAGTGCCCCATGGTGGCGGTGGGGTTATGGTATGGGCAGGCATAAGCTACAGACAATGAACACAGTTGCATTTTATCAATAGCAATTTGAATATACAAAGATACCGTGATGAGATCCTGAGGGCCATTGTCGTGCCATTCATCTGCTGCCATCACCTCATGTTTCAGCATGATAACGCACGGCCCCATACCACAAAGATCAGTACACAATTCCTGGAAGCTGAAAATATCTCAGTTCTTCCATGGCCTGCATACTCACCAGACATATCACCCATTGAGCATATTTGGGATGCTCTGGATCGATGTGTAGGACAGCTCCCGCCAATATCCAGCAACTTCGCACGGCCATTGAAGAGGAGTGGGACAACATTCTACAGGCCACAATCAACTCTATGCAAAGGAGATGTGTCGCGCTGCTTGATGCAAATGGTGGTCACAACAGATACTGACTGGTTTTCTGATCTACGGCCCTACGCTAAAAATAAAGTTATCTGTGACCAACAGATGCCTATCTGTATTCCCAGTCATGTGAAATCCATAGATTAAGGCCTATTGAATTTATTTCAATTGACTGATTTCCTTACATGAACTGTAACTCAGTAAAATCTTTGAAATTGTTGCATGTTGCATACATTTTTTTGTTCAGTGTATATTTTGCTAAAGGGATGTCCATCCATTTTTCTTTCGGAGAGGAACAATTTTCTCCATGTAACCCTTATTATAAATAACCTTCACTCCCTTGATCCATCCTCAGTTTTCTCCTATCACAGCTATTAAACTTTGTAACTGTTTTAAGGTCACCATTGGCCTCATGGTGAAATCCCTGAGCGGTTTCCTTCCTCTGTAGCAACTGAGTTAGGAAGGACGCCTGTATCTTTGTAGTGACTGGGTGTATTAATACACCATCCAAAGTGTAATGAATAATTTCACCATGCTCAAAGGGATATTCAATGTCTGCTTTTTTTTTACCCATCTACCAATAGGTGCCCTTCTTTGCGAGGCATTGGAAAACCTCCCTGTTATTTGTGGTTGAATCTGAGTTCACTGCTCAACTGAAGGACCTTACAGATAATTGTATGTGTGGGGTACAGAGATAAGGTAGACATTTAAAAATAATGTTAAACACTATTATTGCACACAGAGTGAGTCCATTCAACTTATTATGTAACTTGTTAAACACATTTTTACTCCTGAACTTCTTTAGTTTTGCCATAACAAAAGGGTTGAATACGTATTGACCCAAGACATTTTCAGCTTTTAATTGTTTTTAATTTGTAAAAAATTGTACAATCTTAATTCCAGTTTGACATTATGAGGCCAGTAACAATTTTTTTTAATATTTTATCCATTTTAAATTCAGTCTAAAACAGCAACATGTGGAATAACTCAAGGGGTGTGAATTCTTTCATAAGGCACTGTGTACTGTTCATAGCTATGAGCTAATGTGTTTGCCTATAAACTACACATTTATTTTGACTGATTATTAGCAAGCACAACAACAGCATGATCTAACATCTTATTGAATACTGCCAGGCATTGATACAATCATGCAGTAGATTATATCCATGAACACAATAACAATCAATTTACCATCTTGCCTAACTCTTAGGGGAGAGTGGGGTAAGTTGAGCCAAATGGGTAAGGTGAGTCACCCTTGTTTCTAGGAAACATACACAACATGAATAATTGTATCAAATATTTAGGAAGAGGTCATCATTTCATGGAGTCTGTGAAGGAAGCAACCACATGGAAAAAGTGGTAAGCAAGTTATGTCCAAAAAACAGATTGCATCTAAACCAAAGGAGATCATTTTAAGATTGTTCTATAAATCAGTTGGGGTCTCTATAAGCTTCAAAATGAGGTCCTAAACCAAGCATGGAAGTGCATCCTTGTAGCTGTGTGAGCTAATATAGTCATATTTTTGGACTTGGGGTAAATTGAACAAATGGCCATGGGGTAAATTGAGCCAATGGCAAGTTGAGCAAATTGAAGTGTTTTCTTCCCAGGAGTAATGAAAGGCATTGTTGCTGAGATATGAGGTATCAACAGGGCCTGGCCTATGTTAAAAGTGTTTTAAAAAAGTACAAAGTGTTTGTTAGGTGTTAAACCTGTGTTAAAAGATGCTTAAAATGATTAAAATACACACAAAAAAAGGTGATTGTGATTGGGTTGAATTGTGTTTGGGAAATAAAGATAGATATGGTTTTAAAAAGGTAGTGGTAATATTTAATTAAGCAGAGAAATTTGTAAGCGGCTTAACTTATCCTGTTGTGATGAGTGTGATGGAAGGAGTCAGGCGCAGGAGGGTAATCACCGAATACAGAGTTTATTCCTTCGTGGACACACAAATGCGCTCAAATAGCGATCAACGAAACAGGCACAGGGGAAACTCTCATCCCTGGCAAATACACTGTAACGGTAGAATCCAATAATACATAGGCACAGGGGAAAATCTACCCTGGCAACAAAATGTACGAGTAACTCCACCGAACTACACTACTCTCACAAATAACAATCACCCACAAGGACAAGGGGGCAGAGGGAACACTTATACACAGACTAATGAGGGGATTAGAACCAGGTGTGTGTGATTGACAAGACAAGGGTGATGATGATTGGGGCGGCAGTGGTTAGTAAGCTGGTGACGACGAACGCCGAACTGCCCGAACAAGGAGGTGAAGTCGTGACACCTGTCAAGCAGCTCAAAAAGTGCCAAGAGACCACTTTTTTTGGGACAAGCTATGCTTCAAAACTGTAATGTTTACATAAATCCTGATTATTTCCAGGGATACACAACATTATGAAATATATGTAGATATCTTTGTTAGAAATAATACTGTAATTCCCTTGATGGAGTGATGCTGAATGTAAAAAATGACTCAACTCTCCCCTACTACCCACTGGACATTAATGAGTGCAGGATTGGAAATCAGTTGTCAAATGAATATCACAACAACAAAGAAGTATTTATCATGCATGCATTTATTTATCTAGTACTACATTTTTTATTTTTATAAAATATTTACATTCAATGACACAGGCCAACAATAACATAAAAATACAATCTCGTGATCCAATCTCAACTACATTGAGTGACACAGTGCAGAATGACGCAGTGACAGTGCAGAGAGGGTTTGATCGTATCTCGTGTGCCTTGAAACTAGGTTGTGTCTTATTGTTGAGCTTGCCTTTAGATGTTACCATCGTCAATTACAGCCCTCCAATTGGGGAACTGTCTCTTGATTGAGGTGAGAGAAAAGAGAACAAGAAATTGGTTCGGATTAGATGTCAATACACTGCCCTGATTCTGTCACAACCTGCAGTAAACGTATTATAAAAACGGTTTACATTAGTTCATTTTAGGAATCTAAGCAGCAAAATGCAGTTGTTGAGTTTGTTTTGGAGTGACAGAGTCCAATCGTTACAAGTAAATATAATAATCAGCACATAATGTCCAATTGGTAGAAGTCTTCAAAAGCAGTCCATGTAGAGCATCAGACAAGAGTAGAAATCAGAGGGCAGGAAGTGCAGGATGAGGGAAAGTCTCTATGCAGGGCCCACAGAAGACACTTCTGTCTTGCTTGCTGACACAGAAGTCTCATCTTCTTCTGCTTTCATCCCTACAGCGGCCAGCATGCAGCCACGGAACTGGGAGGGGAAAGAATGAAAAGCAATGAGCATGACAAGTCAAAATACATTGAACAAACAATATATTCTGTTACTGCTACGTCAAACTCAAAGAGTAAGTAGAAAAGGTTTTAAAAAATGTATAATGTTACCAACCTGTTTGTTCATCAGCACATAGATGATGGGGTTGAACAAGGCTGAGCTCTTGGAGAAGAAGGCAGGGATAGCCATGGACTGGGCACTGAAGGCAATTCCTTTGTTGAAGAAGATGTAGGCAGCAAGGCTAGCATAGGGGGTCCAGGCGATCAAGAAACCACAAACCATTAGGACGCACATACGTGTGACTTCCTTCTCTGCTTTCTGGGTAGATGCTGAGTCCTGCTGGGAAGCTGCAGCCTGAAAATGAAGATAATCAAGACATCAGAGTGGAGAACTATCACCTACATTTTATACTATGCACACTATGTGGAACTCCTAGATAAATGTTGTTTGTGTAAGACGTCACTTACCGCCTTGACTGTGAGGACCAGGCTTCCATAAGTGAAGGCGATCATACAGACTGGGATGATGAAGTGGCAGGAGAACATGTAGATCACATATGATTCATTGTTGAAGCCTTCGGCCAAGGTGTAGTAGTCAGGTCCACATGAGCACTGCATGCCCTCTGGGATGTACCTAAAATAAATAGAAGTGCACAATATTATCATTTTGTGTGAGTGAGTAGGATTGGTGGTGGATGGAGCATGACTTGAATAGCATGTGAATAACATTTTATGTAACTTCAAATTTCCTACACTGGTTACAGCTTACCTGGACCAGCCAACCAGTGGGGGAGCAGCACATGCCATAGCAGCTATCCAGGTGAATGCAACACCAGCACCAGCGTGGGTGGCAGTGAACGTGAAGCTGCCCATGGGCTTGCAGACCACAATGTATCTCTCAACAGCCAGCACTACCAGAGACCACAGGGCAACCTCACCTGGAGAATGAAACCACAATCCAAAGTCAGTTACTTCAGTTCTAAATGGATTTACAATAACATTGAGAACAGTACTTTCAGTTCCAAAATTATTTTCAATTACTTTGGGTACAGCTTATCAGTATTTTGAATCAGTTTAAACTAAAGTAGATTCTGTAGCATTTTTAATTATTTCTTACCTCCAAGTGTAGCCATGAAACCCTCAATAGCACAACCCATTGGCCCAAAGATGAAGTAGCCGTTAAGAGCAGATGTGATGGTGATGGTGAATCCAAAGAGGACCATGATCATTCCAGCCGCAGCCAAGTTGACCAGAATGAAGTTGAGGGGTTGCCGGAGCTTCTTGTTTGTGAATGTGACATACAGGGTCAGCCCGTTGATGGGGAATCCAAAAATTATCAGACAGAACACGTAGGCGGCAAGACAATAGTATTGCCATGGAGGTGCCAAGTAGTACTGAGGGTAGAGAAAAGGACTCCTTACAAGCCCAGTCCTGTTGGACATGGGGATGTAGAAGTTGTTGCCTTCTGTCCCGTTCTGCATCTTCACTCAGTGGATATCCAATGAATGCAAGAGAAAGGCAAAAAGAGATCTGATCTGGCTCTGAACCTTTTGCCTATGCTAGGTTGTCCTGGCAGGAAGTTTTATACGCTTTTGGGGCCCTATGTCATCGGCTAAAATAGGCTGAATTAGCTTAGGAACTAATTTGTTAATTGATCTTATCAGGGAAAGGGTTTAATTGTGAATAGGCTTAATTGATCTAACTATTGAGGAATAAAGATTATCACACTGACCTTGTTGACGTGTTATCAACTAGGGGAGACTGGGGATAGTTGTAAGGCAGGGTAGCTTTAACACGCTCAATATCTCCAATCAAAGAGCAAGTTAGAATCATGTGACTCGTGCATAGGCTATTTTGTGCTGTTCGATGGTAATTTCAATTAAGGATGAATTGATTCTTGAACAATAGCCTATAACTGATAGCCTTACGGGCTTTGTTAAATTGTCTTACCTACCCTGTCATGAAATATGACTTTGTATTATACTCCATTGTTCATGTTATCATTTTAGTCACTCTTAACAATTGTCGTATATAGTAGGGGTATCCAACTCTTACCCTACGAGGTCTGGAGCCTGCAGGTTTTCTTTTCTACCTGATAATTAATTTCACCCACCTGGTGTGCCAGGTCTAAATCAGTCATTGATTAAAGGGGAACAATGAAAACAAGCAGTGGAACTGGTTTCGAGGTCCTGCTCATCGAACATCTCATAAACAAATATTGATCATTAATATGGAGTAGGTCCCCCCTTTTCTGCTATAACAGCTTCCACTCTTCTGGGAAGGATTTCCACTAGATGTTGAAACATTGCTGCGGGGCTTCCATTCAGACACAAGAGCATTAGTGAAGTCAGGCACTGATGTTGGGCAATTAGGCCTGGCTCGCAGTCGGCGTTCCAATTAATCTCAAAGGTGTTCGATGGGGTTGAGGTCAGGGCTCTGTGCAGGCCAGTCAAGTTCTTCGACACCGATATCGACAAACCGTTTCTGTATGGACCTCGCTTTGTGCACGGGGGCAATGTCATGCTGAAACAGGAAAGGGTCTTCCCCAAACTGTTGCCACAAAGTTGGAAGCATAAAATTGTCTAGAATGTAATTGTATGCTGTAGCATTAAGATTTCCCTTCACTGGAACCAAGGGGCCTAGCCCGAACCATGAAAAACAGCCTCAGACCATTATTCCTCATCCACCAAACTTTACAGTTGGCACTATGCATTGGGCCAGGTAGCCTTCTCCTGGCATCCACCAAACCCAGATTCGTCCATCGGAGTGCCAGATGGTGAAGCGTGATTCATCACTCCAGAGAACGCGTTTCCACTGCTCCAGAGTCCAATGGCGGCGAGCTTTACACCACTCCAGCCGACGCTTGGCATTGCGCATGGTGATCTTAGGCTTGTGTGCGGCTGCTCGGCCATGGAAACCCATTTCATGAAGCTCCCGAGGAACAGTTATTGTGCTGACGTTGCTACCAGAGGCAGTTTGGAACTCGGTAGTGAGTGTTGCAACCGAGGACAGACCATTTTTACGCGCTACGTTCTTCAGCACTCGGTGTTCATGTTCTGTGAGCCTGTGTGGCCTACCACGTTGCGGCTGAGCCATTGTTTCTCCTAGATGTTTCAACTTCAAAATAGCACAACTTACAGTTGACCAGGCAGCTCTAGCAGGGCAGAAATCTGACGAACTGACTTGTTGGAAAGGTGGCATCCCATGGTGCCACGTTGAAAGTCACTGAGCTCTTCAGTTTTTTTATTTTATTTTATTTCACCTTTATTTAACCAGGTAAGCCAGTTGAGAACAAGTTCTCATTTACAACTGCGACCTGGCCAAGATAAAGCAAAGCAGTGCGATAAAAACAACACAGAGTTACATATGGGGTAAAAAACATAAAGTCAAAAATACAACAGAAAATATATATACAGTGTGTGCAAATGTAGCAAGTTATGGAGGTAAGGCAATAAATAGGCTATAGTGCAAAATAATTACAATAGTATTAACACTGGAATGCTAGATGTGCAAGAGATTATGTGCAAATAGAGATACTGGGGTGCAAAAGAGCAAAATAAATAACAATATAGGGATGAGGTAGTTGGGTGGGCTAATTTCAGATGGGCTGTGTACAGGTGCAGTGATCGGTAAGGTGCTCTGACAACTGATGCTTAAAGTTAGTGAGGGAGATAAGAGTCTCCAGCTTCAGAGATTTTTGCAATTCGTTCCAGTCATTGGCAGCAGAGAACTGGAAGGAATGGCGGCCAAAGGAGGTGTTGGCTTTGGGAATGACCAGTGAGATATACCTGCTGGAGCGCAGACTACGGGTGGGTGCTGCTATGGTGACCAATGAGCTAAGATAAGGCGGGGATTTGCCTAGCAGTGATTTATAGATGGCCTGGAGCCAGTGGGTTTGACGACGAACATGTAGTGAGGACCAGCCAACAAGAGCGTACAGGTCACAGTGGTGGGTAGTGTATGGGGCTTTGGAGACAAAACGGATGGCACTGTGATAGACTACATCCAATTTGCTGAGTAGAGTGTTGGAGGCTATTTTGTAAATGACATCGCCGAAGTCAAGGATCGGTAGGATAGTCAGTTTTACGAGGGCATGTTTGGCAGCATGAGTGAAGGAGGCTTTGTTGCGAAATAGGAAGCCGATTCTAGATTTAACTTTGGATTGGAGATTCTTTATGTGAGTCTGGAAGGAGAGTTTACAGTCTAACCAGACACCTAGGTATTTGTAGTTGTCCACATACTCTAGGTCAGACCCGTCGAGAGTGGTGATTCTAGTCGGGTGGGCGGGTGCCAGCAGCGTTCGATTGAAAAGCATGCATTTAGTTTTACTAGTGTTTAAGAGCAGTTGGAGGCTACTGAAGGAGTGTTGTATGGCATTGAAGCTCGTTTGGAGGTTTGTTAACACAGTGTCCAATGAAGGGCCAGATGTATACAAAATGGTGTCGTCTGCGTAGAGGTGGATCTGAGAGTCACCAGCAGCCGGTTCGCAGCTGGTTCGAATCCAGGCTCTGTCGCAGCCGGCCGTGACCGGGAGACTCATGGGCAGCGCACAATTGGCCCAGCGTCGTCCAGGGTAGGGGAGGGAATGGCCGGCAGGGATGTAGCTCAGTTGATAGAGCATGGCGTTTGCAACGCCAGGGTTGTGGGTTTGATTCCCACGGGGGGCCAGTATAAAAAAAAAAAAAGACTAAAATGTTAATATAGTCCACTTGCGCTACCAAGCAAGAACCATGCTCTACCAACTAAGCCACACATGACATTAAGCTATTTACAAGTAACCATATATTTGTTTAATGAAGGGGTATGCCTTTATTACATTATTTGAAATGTTCAGAATGAGTGGCTAATGTACTGCATACACTGTATACCAAAATTAATGCAAAGTGTGCTCACTCAAATGCACGGACACACACACACACACTCAGGTAACATTTTACTTGATTATAAATAGGCATTCATAACAGTCATGACATCAGTGGAACGAGTTTTTCTAAATAAATGTCCCAATTGAACACATCTTCACTTCAAAAACGTGTCTCTTGTGTACAATGTGTATTTTTGCTATCACAGCCTCTGAGATACCATACACACAGCAGGCTGTGTATCATGATGAGTAACCTTGCTTGAGACCTTATAGTGCACAGGAGATCCAGGTTAGACCTCGATCTGTGACCGGATTGGTTTCCGCTAGGAGGGGGAGGTCAAAAGGGGAGTGAAGTGTAACTGAGGAGGTTTGGTAGTTTGGTGAACCGCGCATGTTGAGTAAATTTGCTTGAGACCTTAAGACTTGCATTTGCCCTCCCAAGGTAAAAAATTAGATTTCACCTTGGAATAGTTTTTTGTGGTTGTGCTTTGCTCATGGGCACAAAGACAGAAGATGACATCTATAATAATATACAGTACCAGCAACCCTGCAGTTGCTGAATCACATCCTCCCGATTTTTCCCATCAGACCCAGCAATCCAACGAGCAACCCTCTGTTTGCTGGACTGCCCGTCTAACCGCTAGGCTTCATAACGCCCCTTAGTTCAGCATAGTAACACTGTCCTTGTGGCGTCAGGCCCGATTTTTTCAGCCCTTGGATTCAAACTGGCAACCTTGCAGTTACTGGCCTGCCACTCTAACCTCTTAAACTGACGCATTTTTATGGGGATTTTTTTATGATGCTAATTACATTAGACATTGACTCTAGGGGGTTAAGGTATGAAGAAAGGTTACTCAATACAGTAGCATGGTTTACAGAACCACCTTCATTATACTCCACCACACATTTCACCTCCTCCTCACACAGACCTATCTAGGTCATGGCATCAATGGGACAGACTGGTTTCTAACCTAGGTCTCCTGCAGGCCACATGACCGTGTTACCCTGCTGAGCTTAAGCGTAGCCATTAGCTCAGGGAGCTAACACAAGTCTTTAGGTTTCAGACACGGTTACTCATCACCTACATACATTTTTCAGGTGCCATCCCCAACAGCCTTTGTGGCCATGAGCAAGTACTTTGCCCCTAAACTGCTACAAGGGCAATGCTGACACTGTGCTGCTCCCATCGTGTTGTGTGTCTGGTTTCCCATGGGATTTGGAACTCTGACAACAACAAATCTGTTACCTGAGTATGTGTGTGTGTTATTTTGTCACGTTCCAATGTGTGCCTGTAAGTGTGTGCGCATGTGTGTGTTTGTAATGCATGTTGTTTCTGTGTATGTGTGGGTACACATATATCAGTATGTGTGTGTCTGTGTGTGTGTGTGTGTGTGTGTGTGTGTGTGTGTGTGTGTGTGTGTTTGTGTGTGTATGTGTTTGTCTATGATCGTGCATGTGTGTACATTTCAATCTGTGCTTGTGAGTGTGTCTCTGAGTATGAGTAATAATGTAAGTGCATAGGTGCATGTGTGTTTGTAATTGGTGTAGGACGGTAGGTGCATCAAAATCAGGGAAATAATATATATATATATATATATATATATATATATATATATATATATATATATATATATATTAATGTTATGATTAAAAAAGGTTGTTACTCACCTGATAATGTAATAACCACCGGATAAG